GGACAAGATTTCACCTCTCCTCTCCCTTCTACTTAATTAACACAAACTATTTTTGCCCTTTGAACTCTGTTTGCTGCCACTGAAATAAGCTGAAAGAGGAAAACTTCACCTAAGAAAGAAAATGTGTAAATTGTTGAGTATTTTTCTAACCCATGCAGCAATCTTTTTACTTTATTATTCCCCCATTCTCATTGTAACTGTGCCTGTGTTTCTCTTCTTGTAGGTGACTCTTGTCCTCTGTTTTGCAGGTGCCTTCCACGTCCAACTCTCTGGGCAGCTTGGAGCCTGCTGTGGGCATTAGCCAAGACCCTGCTTTTGACCCTGCTTTTGGCTATGGTCTCCGATTTCATGTATGGCTGGTTCTTCGGCCATCCATGCGCACAGATCACTTCAGCTCCATTACTCTATATCCAGCCCATAAAGCGGTTGCCCCCTGTAGTTTCATAATGGTTGTTAAACCCGTCATTCAGCTCCTTTAAATAAAGTTTAATGGTAAGCAAGGTGAGCATGTATCCCTGCCTGAGAAGGTAATTTGCAAGTAAGCAGTACTGACCATTGCAGTCCATATGGTGTAGGACAACCCTGAAAGGCAAGAGGGCCATTGCTGCAGACCCCCTAAAGCTGCTGGATCTATATAAACTCATCAATCATTGGTTCATGTGTTGTGCTGGCAACAATTGTGCTCACTGTATTTGGCCTGACAGCAGCTCCTGCTCCCCAGTGTCACTAGAAGATTCAAGCCGGGTCCCTAGATTAGCCTGTGACCACCCCAAACACCCCAAGACCAACCATGGGATTGGAAATCACCACCATGTGTAGGCATGTCATCTGGGTGACTGTACGACTCCACAGCTTCATCCTGAGATGACTGGATAGACCAGTGGTTCTCAACCTGGGGTCCCCAGATGTTTTTGGCCATCAACTCCCAGAAATCCTAACAGCTGGTAAACTGGCTGGGATTTCTGGGAGTTGTAGACCAAAACACCTGGGGACCCACAGGTTGAGAACCACTGGGATAGACTATCATCAGAACCACATCATTAGCCCCATGATTTCATCTGTATGCATCTGTCCAGGGCCTCTCCACTCAACAAAAACTTTTATTAAAGGATTTCATACCCCCCACCTCTTGTTGACAATTTTACCTTTATCTTTGGAAACCAAGTCTTCATCCCTCTCAAATCCCTTGTTTTTGGTTAGGAGAGCATCCCTGTTGCTACCTCAGATCTATCATCATTTGATGCACTGGTTAAAGGTGGAGGAAGAGGAGCAAACTTTGTAAGAGATTTCCATGCAGTGCCTTTCCCTCTAGGTGCCATTGTAGCTGGCACCTAGGTTTAATGGTAATCATTAAGACACAGAGTCCTCAGAAGAACACAAAAACTACCCACCCCAAGGGAGGAGAAGAAGACATTCCCTTGGTAGCTGAGAAAGCTTCAAAATGGGGCCAGCTCTATGGAGCCTGTCAGTCGAAGAGTAAAGTGAGGTGGCTTGAGATGCTGAGGAGAGAAAACATCACCTTGTTCAAACCTTTAAAACCCCAAACAGAACAATGGGGGAGAAGTCAGGTGAGGTGGCTTTGTTTGCTACAGAGAGTGGGAGGAATAAACAGGTGCAAAGGGAAAGCAGAAGAGAGAAACGCAGCATGGCTGTCTAATAGGCCACGAAAACAATTGGTCTACTCTAGACAAAAGAAATGGGTGAGATACTCAACTATAAAGATATACCAGTAGATACAAATATCAGGATCACCCGTGCCTTCCAATTTCCAGTTTCTTTGCATGGGTTTGAAAATTGGCCTTTCATTCAAGGAGTCTGTTAGGCGGTGGAGTGGGTAGTCCACTAACAGAATCCCCAGTCTATCCCTAGATTTCAGACTCGGGTACACACACTCAATGTGATTCAGTTCCCTAGTAGGTAATCTGGTCAGGTGAAGATGAACCATAGCTACCCCCACTTCTCATCTTGAGCTTCACATCACAAAATGTGATCCTGTTGTAGGATCAGATTACATCAAGGACCCCAGGTGGGCTGGGACTACAGCAAAATTTCACTGAAGTTTCTTTGACTTCCCCTTTAAGTCCAGCAAAATAAGGTTTTTTAAACTTCTCGGGAAGTATCTCTACTGCTGCTTCTGCTGTTGCCAGGAGAGCAAAAAGGAAAAACTCATTCAGTATGTCAAATTATTCAATTCTGTTTTTCCTTCCTGTCTATCCCTTTGCCCATGTGTTTGACATATGGTACTTTGCAATCATTTATATGGCCCAAGTTCTGTATGTGTATGTAGTTGTGAGGGGGAAGGAGAGTCAGAAAGTGTTGGCCCCCACATCCCATTCTTCCTTCCATAGTTTTACAAGGTCCATGCAGTCATGCAGCCATGCTGGCCACATGACCTTGGAGGTGTCTACAGACAACGGCAACTCTTCGGCTTAGAAATGGAGAAGAGCACCACACCGAGTCGGACACGACAGGACCTCATGTCAGGGGAAAACCTTTACCTTTTTATCTTAGCCTTCTCTGACGAAGTATTTGTACCTCCCATAATTTCATAGCATTGAGCTACAGCAATTAAATTAGTATCAAAGAGTATTCATTCTATAGTGTAGGTTCTGCCCCCATGCTATCTTAACAACTTGGAAGGTGAACTGGCTGTGCAGGGAACGGATTGTAGTAGACTATATAGTTGAATCAAACAAGATTTTTTAACTGACAAGAATTTTAGACTTTCTCTCCTCCTGGGTCTCACTACAAAGTCTTTTTGAGGAGAGGTAAAGTCTTTAAGAGATAGACACAGTTCTGGCTGAATTGAGGCTCTTGAATCTTTATTTCTTCTTATTGTCTCTTTCTTGTATAGCTTCTCAGCCATCTCTAACATTGTCTCAATGTTTAACTATGACTGGACTTGAATACAGATCCAAATAAACTTGAATACAACTCACACGCCGGGATTGTGGCACAGCTGGCTGAGTGTCAGCTGCATTAAAATCTCTCTGACCAAAAGGTCATGAGTTCAAAGCCAGCCCGGGTTGGAGTGGGTTTCCAACTAATTGTGTAGCCTGTTGTCGACCTTTGCAACCCGAAAGACAGTTGCATCTGTCAAGTAGGAAAATTAGGTACCACCTTAAAGTGTGGGGAGGCTAAATTAACTGATTTATGAGGCCATAAAAAAGACTCCAGCAAAGCATTCCAGCGGGGAAGCATGCGGGGAATGCGGAAGTGCTTCATCAGCGTCGCAGATGGACGATGAAAGCGACAGCTCCCCTGGCGGCCAGAAAAAGTTAAATAGCCTCTGTGTATGTCTGTATATGTTTGTATGTCAAAAATTGGCATTGAATGTTTGCCATATATGTGTAAACTGTAATCCGCCCTGAGTCCCCTGCGGGGTGAGAAGGGCGGAATATAAAAGCTAAATAAATAAATAATAAATACAGGTCCGACTGAATGTGCTATTTGTAGACCTTCCAGCCTTCCTCTCCCTTCACCTTCCAGTAGCTAAAAGGCTGACTCTTTCCAGAATCAGAAGTGCTTTGCCAGAGGCTCTGCCCCTGAGGAGATTCTTGAAAAGGGCAGGGCGAAGGAGGCTTCAAATGCAAAGAGGCTGTCTAGACTGGCTCCCCAGAAACTCTACATAAAATATTATTCCCTCTAACTAAAAAGGGCGTAACTAGGGGTAAACAGTGAGGGTCTTCATGGGGCACAACAGGGCAGATGCATCCTAAGTGTGACTTCTTTCTGAGTAACCATACAAAATATTAGGCCGGTTTTGCAGTTTGCCTTTCACTGTTAAGACCATAAGATCAAAAGAAAGCACTCTGATTTCATTCATAAACTGAGAGGCGACATTTCCTTTCTCTCTTGGCAAGTCATATTACAAGTTGGAAGAAAATAACTACAGAAGTTTGTCCATGGTTTAATTACAAAATAACTGTCAAAAAGCACTCACTTTTACTGAAATCTTGAATTATCCTATTAACTTAAAAAAGTTATAGAAAAAACCAACAAATTGGTTATTTTAAATTTTAGAACACAGCAGGTATGTTTTTCATTTAATTTATTTTTGGTTATGCTGTATTAGGAGAGAAAACAGCAACAAAACACATGGAAATATTATTTACAAAAAACCCCACAAAAATAACATTTTAAAAAAATCCACAGAGTTTTATATTTCACAATCCCAACTAGAAAGTAGTACCCTTCCAAAATATATTATAGACTTATGGAAATATTTACATTCACTCAATCATATATTTTTTGTCCTAGAAAGGGAGGTTTATCAGTATTTATTAAAAACTTGTCACCAAGTATAAAAAAAGTCTGTACTTTAAACAATATACTTGGTAAATGAGAAAAGAAATAGATAAATATCACCAGGAGTTTACAAAAGTACTGAGCTGAGGGTGACTAGTTTTGTTCTTTCACTCCTGATCTCTTTTTAAAAGTTTTGTACAGTGAAGGCATAATTTGTTCAAGGCAACCTCCTTTCAGAGATTTTGCTTCAGGAAATAAACTGCATTGCCTTTTTCTCTAGGAAATATTAAGCACATTGCCATCAGTAGGGCAGTGCCACAGAGTTCTCCATACCAGAAGGTGCAAATATTAATTCCAGTGTGCACTAAAGGGCTTTCTATGCGGCTAAAAGGAACAATCCCTTGATAGAGATTGATTCCCTCTATTAAACAACAAGTCTGTTTTCTATCCATCTTAGATGATCAACTGAAGCATCTCTCCTCTTGTAACAACTTCAGGTTGTTGTTTCTCATTCATACACAGACACTACAAACAAACATGCATCATGTGGTGGAGCTACAACCTCAAAACAGAGCAGCATCCAGCATAGAACAAAATAATCAGCCAAACCAAAAAAAAAACAAAAACCTATGTCCACTGAGTCTTGGTCAGTGTATCCAATGGCTCTCCCACCTACCAGTCCATCCAAAACCTTCAGTCAAGCTGGCAAGATTTGTTAGGAGCCATTTTAGTAATCGATTAACAGCAAAGCTTTAGAACACTCCACATCTAGAAAAAATAGGAAAAAGGAAATGCCATAAGTTGTTTTTTCATAAGCTGATGGGGGGGGGGGGGTCAATATATTTTAGGATGATATTACTCAAATCAGCTTTTGAGGAATAATGTCTGAGACCAGCAATTCACCAAAGTTACTGACCACAATATATGGACTGAATATACAGATATTTTTTTTGTCGTGTCAGGAGCGACCTGAGAAACTGCAAGTCGCTTCTGGTGTGAGAGAATTGAATATACGGATTGAGTTGACATGATTTTATCTTGGCAAACAGCTGTTACGTAATTTATCCTATATGTATTGGTTAATTTTAATGTTGATGTATGATATTTTAGATTTTAGTGTTAGCATTGAATTTTTGCTGTCAGCCGGTCTGAGTCCTTCTACGGAGGTAGAGAAGATCAGGATATAAAAGTTTTAAATAAATAAATAAACAAATAAATAAATAATAGTGGTGTCTTTACCAATGCTGGTGTGTGAGCCATTGCATGCCAGTCCTTAACTATCATCTAGGCAAGAAATAGTTGTAGCCAATAACCAAAACTATGGTGCTCCAGAAACACTGATTCAGCTATACAGTCTTTAAATCAATTTCTTCTTTTTTTTCTCATTCCCTGGGGAAACTGGAAATAAAGCTTCCATGAAGAAAGCTGGGCATTTCCGTAGAAAATTCTCAGCATCATCACCCAACCACTGCAAAGAAGCACTGCAATGTGAGCAGAGGCTCAATGTGGAACGTGTGTTGACATGAAACATATTGCAAATATAGGATCTCAGCCAAAGTGTCCTGAAACAAATCATTTACCTCTTTCCAGATTTTGATTGTGCAGCAACTACATGCAATCTTCCTCCACAACTGGAACAATGTGAATTAGGTTTCCCACCATGCTTTGGAATATTCCAACACTTAAGACACCGAATTCTGTACTTTTTGTATCTATGGGGAAAATAGCTCCATCTTAATTGATTGGTCACTTCCATTCTTTAATTCAAGTCTGTTTTGATACTTGTGTGCTACTTCACCTTCCTTCCTCAACTCTAAACTCCAAAAACATTCCAAATGACATGAAAGGGAAGGCACTTTCTTTGGTATCCTGTAACAGCCAGATATATATCTAAATCACCCTTTCACTTACTCAATCTTTGTCTGAAGATTACAGAGGTTGATATTTCTTTTTTCCAACTACAACTCTCAAAAGTCCCCTCTCCATTTACTGAATAGTCTGGGGATCTCAGAAGTGTTGTCGAAGACTTTCATGGCCAGAATCATTGGGTTGTTGTGAGTTTTCTGGTTTGTATGACCATGCTCCAGAAGCATTGTCTTCTGATATTTTGCCCACATCTATAGCAAGCATCCTCAGAGGTTGTGAGATTTGTTGAAAAGCTTTTCTAATCAGATGAACCTCTGCCCAGGTGAAATGCCTTTTGAAATTCTAGCTTTTCTCTCTGGGGTGCTATATGTGAAAAATCAAAGAAATAAGATTCCTACACCCACTGAGAACCCAGGGATCAAAAAGTGAGGCTGTTATACAGTGACCTAAACCTATGTAGTTTAAAGTTACAGTACAGAAGAGTCTGTGAATATTTCAAGAAATTTATTGACAGTGAGAGAAGTTCAGAAATAAAATCAATTGCCTAGAGAGGTGATGAAGTCTTTAAAATGAGGCTAGATAGATACCTGCTGGAGATGCCACATTTGGAGATCCTGTACTGAGCAGGAAGTTGGACTCAAAGGCCCATGGGATCTTTTCCAACTGCATGGTAATGGGGAAGCTTCAGTGAGCAAAGGGGCAAGGGCTGTAATGACCAGCTTCGTAGTTATTGTGGGGTAGCATACCACAGTTAAACAGCTTACCAAACCCTCCAAAGCAGTCTATGCCAGTGTGAAACAGCTTTTAATGTTGTGGAGTGTGTCTTTGCCACTTGAAAAAATGCTGTGTGGGTATGTATATCCTTAATATTACAAAACATGGATCATGCGTTTTAAAAAATTTGAATTAATTTTGAAATTGTCTATTTATAGTCTATGTAATTAAAAATAACACTTTTGTATCATTTTGGTATGAAGCATGATTCTATGATCCTCCATTAATACCAAAAATCCATTGATATTAGAGTCTATTATATGCAACGGTGTAGTAAATGGCTGCCTTTTATATAAAATGGCAAAATCAAGCCATGGATGAAGGATCTGTGGATGCAGAATCCATGGATAGGGAGGACCAACTGTATATATTGTTTTAGTTGCATTGTTTACTTCGAACAACTTTGAGTCCCGTACTGAAATATTAAATAAACAAAATATATTTCTAGAGTACTAAATATTCCACACTCTACTTTACACAAAATCTGCAACGGCAGTTAAATTAAATAGGTACCTAATGCCACAGGCATTGCAGAGAGGAGTCCCATCTTCAGCATCTCTCCATAGAGGTGTTTTCCTGGTCTTGCAAGATGCACAACGTTTATTCCCTTGAAGGCAAAAAACACCTTGATCACACAATACTTCTAAACATTTCAAGATAATTAAACTTGCTGAAGCCAATAATGCTCTCCATTACTAGTTTATCCCTGAGTCACACTTGCATCACTAAAAAATTACATAAGGTCTTACTTCTCCCACTGTCTATATAGAGACAGTATCTTAAGTTGTTGAGGTGGGGGGTGGTGGTGTTAGACGTCAGTAAGAACCTAGGAGGAATATTATCAGGAATATTTAAATTTTGCCATCATTATACAACATTATAGATTTTGATTTCAAAAATAAATTTAAGAATGAGAGTGTCATGGAGGGAGAAACAAACCCCCAAATAAGAGCAGAAAACTAATTCTATAATATATCCAGACACAGATAACGAGATATTTACCATTATTTTTCTTCTTTCCAGGAAACTGAAACTTCAGAGAGTTTAGGTCTGTGTATGGGCTTCCACCAACATCAGTTGATTCAGGTTGAGTATCCCTTATCCAAAATGCTTGGTATCATAAATGTTTTGGATTTCAGACTATTTTGGATTTGCACATGCGTGCATAATGAGATATCTTTGAGAAGGGATTAGTGTCTAAACAAGAAATTCATTTATGTTTCATACACACCTTATACTTCACAGACAATATTTTAGTAATTTTGTGCATGCCACCCCCTGCTGCATCAGCTCCACTGACTGCCAGTCCATTTCCGAACACAATTCAAAGTGCTGGTTTTGACCTATAAAGCCCTATACCAGTGGTTCTCAACCTGTGGGTCTCCACGTGTTTTGGCCTACAACTCCCAGAAATCCCAGCCAGTTTACCAGCTGATAGCATTTCTGGGAGTTGAAGGCCAAAACATCTGGGGACCCACAGGTTGAGAACCACTGCCCTATACGGTTCCGGCCCCGCTTACCTGTCCGAACGTATCACCCTCTATGATCCACTTTGGAGTTTGCAATTGTCAGAGGAGGCCCTGCTCTCAATCCCACCACCCTCGCAGGACCTTCTCTGTGGTGTCCCCCCAAGCTATGCAATACACTCCCCAGTGAGATCAAGGTGACTCCCTCTCTCCTCTCCTTGAGAAAAAAGGTTAAATCCTGACTTTGAGACCAAGCATTCAGGCAGCTGACCGAGCAGCAATTGTAACGACTTATGAGAATTATCAATGAATAGACCTGGACTGGAACTCTGGATTATAATTTGGATTTGAGGATTTAGGCTTGGTTAGTCGCGTCAGGACTGACTTGAGAAACTGCAAGTCATTTCTGGTGTGAGAATTGACCATCTGCAAGGACGTTGCCCAGGGGACACCCGGATGTTCTGATGTTTTACCATCCTTGTGGGAGGCTTCTCTCATGTCCCCGTATGAGGAGCTGGAGCTCACAGAGGAAGCTCATAAGTGCTCTCTCCAGATTCGAACTGCGACCTGTCGGTCTTCGATCTTATTTTAATGGCTAATATTTTAATCTATTTATAATTTCTTGTTGTTTTACTTAAAGTTATACTGTTTTCACTGATTGTATGTTGGCATCTAATAGCTGCCAGTTGTGAGCCGCCCTGAGTCCCCCCTTCAGGAGTTGAGAAGGATGGGATACAAATGTTCAAAATAAATAAATATATGAAACAATGTTTATTTATATTGAACTAGCTGAAAGCAATGGTTTCCCTATCTCAGCCACCCACATGGACACATTTTGGTTTTGGAGTATTTTGGAATTCCAAGTAAGAGATACTCAACTTGTATTACACTGATCCTTCATACAGCACAACTTTAACACCCAAAAATATCTCCTTTCCTTATTTTTATTTCAACAATCCTTACAAATAGCCTAATAAAGCATACTGTAAATAAGGGAGCTGAGACCGAAAGAACCATGGCTGTTCCTAGCATTGCTTAGCAATGGGTTTATGGCTAAGATTAAACTTGAACTGGGGGTATTTGACTCCGAGCTCACACCATGTAAGTATACTGAAAAGAGGCTGGAATTTCAGCACACTGAAAGAATAGGATGATTTACTCAATCTATTGTCTGAAGACTCACATTTTGTGTCATCCTACAAAATCAACTCATGCCCACTTCTGGTATCCTTGACATGAACCAGGATTTTACATGGTTCAGCACTGGTTGAATACTGGGGTCAATTAATAAAAATATAACATAATTAGAAAGAAATTCACTAAACCCCTGTGGACCAATTTTGACCTCAACTGAATCAGGAAACATACATAACTTCCGATCAGCAGGTTCTGCAGCTTAGCAGTTTAAGCCGCTGCACTACCACAGCCCCTTCACCACTCTTAAAGAAATCAGTAAAGTTCTTTGTTTTGATTGTTATTTTACTTAAGTCAATATCCACCAAAAGTATAGTGGAAGTTGAACTCTGCTGAAATGGTTTGCTTCCTATCACATTCAGCCTTCATTTTTCCCCCAAAAAGGACTAACACCCTGCAATATGTTAGGATTTAAAAAGAGACGCCATTATGTAATGGGTTAGCTGGAAAGGGATGTGTCAGAAGCTGATTGGCTGGGCATGCCAGGAGTCAGGGTTCTGATTGGCTGCTGCCTCTGGCTAGCTGCTGAGACCAACGGTTCTAACTGTCATTCTGCCATTTTTCTCACTTTGGACAGTGAAGAGAAAATGCTGGCTGCCAACTATCTTGAAGACTGATTATTTTATGGCATGAGGCATATTTCAAAGACTATTTAAAAGGACTATTTTATTCCTCTGTTATATTTAAAGAGATTGATGTATACATTGTTACCCTGTTTGAACTTTTGAACTGAAGTAAAGATACTGTTACTTGTTCCACATGACTAAGTAACATTTTATTATACTACAAGGTATATCTCGGTTTAAATACTGTGGTAAAGCTTCTGCTTATTTACATTTACCAACCTTCACACGATATACTGCTACACATACCACACGAGTCCCTAAACCAAGGCTGTCACAGGAATCTATTTGTTCCCCAAATATTAGGGAAATATCTCTCTTCACACTTGTTACATCCAATACTAGTGAACTTTGTCCTATAAAGTGGTTTAGGATTATTGAAAAAAGGAAGAACCTACTTCCCTTCTACCCCACCAAGCACATTGTGTTGGCAAATGGGTGTGACCAAAACAATCTGCAAGTGCTTGCTTAAAAAGAAAGGGCAAAAAATAGGTCAAATGAAACATTTCAACTCCACCAATTCTGAACTGTGGTCAAGTTGCAGGTCACTTTGAGTCCCTGTAAAATGGTAAGATATTAAATAAACAACTAAATTGATAAATATCTAATTATCGCACATTGCAGCTCTCTAGACATGAAGATGCCTTCAATATACTGTGTGAATAAGCCACCCAAGTCTTACGCCATCCACTTTTGTGCCACAAATGTTTTGCCCAGTGTTGCACCCAGTGATGATTAATTACTGAAGCTATAATCAGATTGATACCTAGCTTCTTCTGTCAAACTCTGCTTATTAAATCAGGCTATGAGATCTTGATTAATATGCAAGTGGTTGATAGCATGGTAAATACTTATTTGCTTATTTGGTGGTCAGGATCCTTTCCCTGTCAAATATTTTTAGTCCACAAGGCCCACCAACTCCTAGACAGCAAAGTCTATTGTAAGGACTGATGGAAGCTGCAATCTCAAACACTGAGTGAAGTTTCCCTAACCGTGCACAAGAGGATCAGATCCTTAGCCTGGGAGTTTCCATACTCTCATCTGGCTTTTGGATGCCTTCTTCCTCTGAAGAGAATGATCTTGGCACCATCCCTCAGAACCACAGCCATTCCCAAGTGACATAAGCATTCAGTGCTTCAAATAAAAAGTGGAACATACTGTGGGTAGAGAGACATCCTTCTTCCTCTTCTGAACTTCCTGCTTGGCCTTCTTCTTTTACTAGAGGGACTCTTCTTTTCCTCAGTTTTTCACTGAACACAAATTAGATGTGTAATATTTTAGTCGTCCTTTTTGTTTTACTTAGCTCTATATTTACTTAGATATAGCATTTTGAACCAGGCTTTCCACATGGTTAAACTGATGAAATGACATTTAGAATTGGGTTGTTGTAGGTTTTTTCGGGCTGTATGGCCATGGTCTAGAGGCATTCTCTCCTGACATTTCGCCTGCATCTATGGCAAGCATCCTCAGAGGTAGTGAGGTCACCTCACTACCTCTGAGGATGCTTGCCATAGATGCAGGCGAAATGTCAGGAGAGAATGCCTCTAGACCATGGCCATACAGCCCGAAAAAACCTACAACAACCCAGTGATTCCGGCCATGAAAGCCTTCGATAGTACATTGACATTTAGAATTGCTGTCCCAGGAGGGTGGGGGAATGGGGCGAGGGGGAGGGTGTGGGTGATAGGTGATACATATCTAAGGAAAGCATAAAGTGTAATTTAAGGAATATTTGCTTTTGGAATACAGTATACTGAAATAAGTCTTGTATGGCAAAAGTTTGTTAATTGTTGGGATGTATCAAATAACCCTCTCCACACCAAAAAAAAAAAAGCTCGATATTGTTAACTATTAAACAGGAATAATGCCCCTGCCTTTCTATCAGGTAAAATGAGGGAGTTTGTTATGACAGAAATGCTGTTGAGAGGAAAAAGTTGTGATAGAGAACAGCAAGGGCAGCCCAGTGGTTGTAAATGGAGCACCAGCACAACACCATGAAAAATCAATGGATGCTGGTGGAAAGACAATACAGCACAAGATCAAAGAGGTGCTGACACAATTGTATTGACTTCCCTGAAGGATTATCCTCATCAAAATTGGCTCACACCATGTCACCATGAGCAACAGGGTTAAAAAGTGAAAGCTGGCTATTAAGGACTGACTATGCTTTCTGCTGTTTAACGTATGTTTTGTAAAAGCTGAATAAAAGTAACCATGAAAATAACACAGCATCTCAATCTGCCTAAAAGCCAGAAACATACTCCTTTAACCATCAGGATTCTCTGTTTCTAAACTCTTAGTAGCCCTTAGACAGCTGCTGCAGATCTTTACATACAGAAGCCCACATTGTCCGCCATCACTGGCTGTATTGGTGAAAACATCTAATGGTTGCAACCCAACAACAGCTAGTGCTAGACAAAAATTAAGAGAAATCCAGGCTGGCACTTTCAACGGAGCTGTAGCCAGGTTGCTAACTGGGGCTGGCTACAGGGAGAAGACAGTTTCCCTGCTGCAATAGCTCCACTGGCTGCCAGTCTGTTTCCGGGCACAATTCAAAGTGCTGGTTATGACCTTTAAAGACCTAGATGGCTGAGGTCCAGGCTCTTTGTCTGACCGCATCCCCTTGCATGAATTGTTGTTTTCCAGGAGTGATAAGGTGGGGCCCCATCCAAAGGGGGGCGGGTTGAGTTTCCCAAAGTGCCCCCAGACAGAGGATCCCCTCTGCTCCACGCCATGGTACCTGCTGTATCGGGGACAAATGTGGAGTCTACAGCCCTCCTTGCTGCTCAGAGAATGCTGCAGCTGCATCTGAAAAGTAACGCCTTGAAAAGTCGGATCCAGGGGCTCACAGCTCCGCTGGGGCTTGGGCTGCTTGCGGGAAATCCTCCGCGTGCTACTCCTTGGAGGCTCGGGCCTGGAGGGGACATCACACCCTGCCTGTGGCTCTTCCACGTGCACTGCCACCCCCCACAGCATGTTATTATCTCCTGTGGAGTCAATTTCAAGGCTGGAGCAATGGAGGCTGATGAGGCTAAGGGCATCCAAAGGGCCAAAAGAGGAGAGGGTAGCCTCTGGGAAGCAGCACTCCATGTGGGAGGTAGTGGCACAGTGGCTGTTGTTCCATGGACGCCCCACATGCCGTGAAAACAGCCTCCTGCTGCTATTGCTGGGCTCAGACTGAGAGAGGCTCTGGCCAGCCTCTTGCAGGAAGTCCAGGGCTTTGGTCTCCGGGATCTGGAGGCAGCAAGCCATGCCCACGAAGGGGTCAAACCTGAAGAGGGGAGAAAGCAGACAAGGGGATCATGGCTTCAGGGACAGGGCAGGATCCATGGGGGGGGGGGGCTGCACTATAGAATGAATGCAGTTCCACACCCCTTTTACTGTCCTGGATCAAGGCAAAGGGATCCTGGGTGTTATAGTTTGGGGAGGCATCAGCAGTCTTTGGCAGAGAAGACTGAAGACCTTGTAAAACTGTAACTCGCATGATTCCATTGCATCGAGTCAAAGCAGTTAATGCGGAGAAACTGCACCCATTCTACAGCATAGAGCACATATGTTAAACTCAGGGCCCACCATGTCATTTTTGTGGCCCTTCAGATGTTCGACTACAACTCCTGTATTCCTCATCATTAGATATCATGACTTGAGCTGATGGGAATTATGATACATTAACCTCTGGAAGACTGTCGTTTGTTCTATTTAATAATAACAATACATTTATTACCCACCTCTCTTGATGCTTTGAAGCAGGGTACAACAAATTAAAAAACAAATGAACATAAAATACAATAAATTGCTAAATAAATAAGTCAGGGTTTAGAATTAGATGCAAAGCTTGTGGGTATGATGTCTGACTTTAAAATGTACCTTGACCTTTCCCAAACCTCAGAGCCATACATGCTTTTGGGTTGCAATTTCCCATTTTCCCCGGTACGTATGGCAGACAGTCAAAGTGATGGGAGCTACCAGTCAAGAACATCTGGGGGCCTGAACTGGGTTAAAATTAAAGATTAAAGAGCACTAAACACGATGTAAAAACATTACAGCTGGTTCTTAATACCTACAGATTATCCATCCATGGATTCAGAGGCCCTTTGAATTTGATTTGTGCCTCTGGCTGAGTTCCAAGGACTTTGTCTAAGGGTCCTTCCACACAGCTCTATATCCCAGAATGTCAAGGCAGAAAATCCCACATTATCTGAACATGGACTCAGATAACCCAGTTCAAAGCAGATATTGTGGGATTTTCTGCCTTTATATTCTGGGATAGAGGGCTGTGTGGAAGGGCGCTAAGGCTGCTGTTTTTACCTGGGAGCAAGTTCCATTGGTTACAATCAGTCTTACTTCCAAGTAAATACCTATATGGTTATACAATCAACAGCTTAAATTTTACAATAACAGTATTTATTTTGGAAATAGGACTTCATTTTAAAAAACCAAAAGCAATGATTTTGTGGTTCCGTGTCATCTGAAAATATTATCTCTTCGACCCCACTTTAACTGCCATGGTTCAGTGCTATGGAATCCTGGGAGTTGTAGTTGGTGAGGCAAAGGAGGCTCAAGGCCTTGCAACAATACAACTCCCAAGATTCCACAGAACTGAGCCACAGCAGTTAATGTGGCGCAAAACTGCATTCATTCTACAATGCAGATGAACCCATGGCGGCATAATATGGGATATAGGGCAGTGTAGATCCAGCCCAAGTTGTATGGCCACCTTAGGGAGACAAAACGCCACCAAAAACTTCTCTCCAAGCCTGCCGACAAAACTAAATCATCACAGCATTCTTCATACTTTGGGGACACTCTCAGGCCATATCTACACTGGCCATTCAATGCAGAGATTGAAGAAAGTGGTTCAGCGAAACGCTGAATAGAGAAAATCCTGGAACCAGTTTGCAGCCTGGATTGCGATTCCATAAACCATAAAGTGGCTTTCTTTCACACACTTCTATGGGAGTTTGTTGTCTGGCAGTCGCAGCTTGAGACTCACTTTGAACCAAATTAAACGGTCCATGTAGACCAGTGGTTCTCAACCTTACTGCAACGGTCTCTATGTGGGGTTGCCTCTGAAGACTGCCCGGAAGCTGCAATTAGTCCAGTGCTCGGCAGCCAGGCTACTGACGGGAGCTGGGTACAGGGAGCGCACAACTCCCTTGTTGCACCAGCTCTGCTGTCTGCCAATTAGCTTCTAAATTAGCTTCAAAGTGCTAGTTTTAACCTATAAATCCCTATATGGTTCCGGCCCAGTTTACCTGTCCAAATGTATTCTCCCCTATGAACCATCAAGGCCATTAAGATCTTCCGGAGAGGCCCTGCTCTCGGTCCCATCACCTTCACAAGTGCGTTTGGTGGGAACGAGAGACAGGGCCTTCTCTGTGGTGGCCCCTCGGCTATGGAACTCTCTCCCGAGCGAGATTAGATCTGCCCCCTCCCTCTTGTTCTTCAGGAGGCTAGTGAAATTCTGGTTATGGAACGAAGCATTCCCAGAATAATGGTTGAGATTGATTACAGACCAAAGTGAGTGACCACATATGCGGACTGAGTTGAACATGATTTTACCTTGGCAATTCGGTATATTTGTATTTATCTATATATATTTTAATCTTGTATTGTTGTATGATGTTTTAACTTGTATTAGTAGCATTGAATCCTTCCTGTAAGCCAATCTGAGTCCCTCTACGGAGGTGAGAAGATCGGGATATAAACGTTTTAAATAAATAAATTATATAAATTATTTGACCAGGGGACCACTCTCCAACATTAGTACCAAAAGGGTTACAAATCAGTGTTTGGTCAACTTTAGGTTTGGTTTGGGGTGGTGATTCAGAAAATTGCACTGGATAGATCACATCAGCTCTAGTTACTGATACAGAACATATCCTGTGGTCAGCGACAGGGAAGGAGTGGCAGGCGGCATGAAAGGTGAGGAAATAAAATAAAATGAGGAAGGAGACTCGCGGATCACTGGTATAGATTAAGGCCCCCTCCACACAGCTGTATAAAATCCCACATTATTTGCTTTGAACTGGACTCTATGGCAGTGTGGACTCAGATAACCCAGGGCCCTTCCATACAGCCCTATATCCCAGAATATCAAGGCAGAAAATCTTGAGTGTGGACTCACAATAACCCAGTTCAAAGCAGATATTGTGGATTTTCCGCCTTGATCTTCCGGGTGTGTGGAAGGGCCTCAGAGGCGGTTGCCAAAACTGTATATAATTTTCTACCCTATATATCAGGGGTCCTCAAACTAAGGCCCAGAGGTCCAAGGTCATTTACCCGGCCCTCACTCAGGGTCAACCTAAGTCTGAAATGACTTGAAAGAACACAACGGCAACAATCCTATCTCATAAGCCAAACGCAGGCCCACACTTCCCATCAAAATACTAATGTTTATATTTTTTTTAATTGTCCTTCATTTTAATTATTGTATTGTTTTAAGTGTTTTTTGCACTACAAATAAGATATGTGCAGTGTGCATAGGAATTCATTCATGTTTTTTTCAAATTATAATCCGGCCCTCCAAGAATTTGGGGAACTGTGACCTGGCCCTCTGTTTAAAAAGTTTGTGGACCCCTGCTATATATGAATGCTAGATAGTAATAGTCAATGCTATTAAACTGCTTTTAAAGCGATCTTTTTTACTGTCTTCCGCAGATTGTTCCTAAAGTCATATTTGCTAGGAAACATGACATTTGTTGCACTGAACTGTAAATAACATCTGCTATTGGGGGCAAAATAAAGCTTTAAAGCTTTCTGAGGGGAAGGCTTTGGAGTCATTCTTTTTTTTTTTTCGCCCATCTTCTAGCAAACACAGTTGAGCATATAAGGCTGGGCTTCTCAAAGCTACAGAAGAAAATAAGAGATGAGGCAAAAACTCATCATCTCACCAACAATTCTGCACTTTATTACAAGACAGAACAGTTGGTGACTCTTGGAAAAGGGCACTGAGCAACCTTCTTCGCTCATTTGATAACAAAGGCGAGCACGCGCCCTTTCCCGCGCTCGCTCCGGCCACGCCACAGCCACGTGCTCATCAAGGCGCGCGCGTGCAGCTCGGGCCCGTCACCTGTTTTTGCGCGCGCCATTCATTCTCATCCTAATTGCCTGCAGGGACAAGGGGAAAGGAAGGAGTTCAGGTCCTGCGCCTGCGCATACTTCCTGCCTTAGCAATAAGCCCCTTTGACTAGGCTGGAAACGCTTCCTGGGGAGCCTCTACCATTCATTCAGAATGAATGCATTTTGACACCGCTTTTACTCTCTTGGTTCAAGGCGATGGGATCCTGGGAGGTATAGGGCCCTTCCACACAGCCATATAACTCGGAATATCAAGGCAGGCAATCCGCATTATCTGCTTTGAACTGGATTATTTGAGTCCATACTGTCAGTCCATTTCAATGTAGATTTTATACAGCTGTGTGGAAGGGACCTTAGTCTAGATCTACATTGCTCTATTTCCCAGGGTCTGAACTGGATTATATGAGTCTAAATTGCCAGATAATCGGGATAAAAAGAATCTGGGATCAGATCCTGGAATATCCAGATCCAGTGTAGATCTGGCCTGGGATCAGATCCAGTGTAGATCTGGCCTGAGGCCTCTTCCACGCTGCCCCAATATTTCAGGATCTGATCCCAGATTATCTTCTTACCTCAGATTATTTAGCAGTGGAGACTCATATAATCCAGTTTAAATCAGATAACCTTTGATATAGGGCAGTGCTGATCCAGCCTGAGGCTTCTTCCACACTGACCCTATATTCCAGGATCTGATCCCAGATTATTTTCTTGTCCCAGATTATCTGGCAGTGGAGACTCCTATAATCCAGATTAAATGAGATCATCTGGGATATAGGGCAGTGTAGATCCAGCCTGAGGAACCTTCCACACTGCCCCTGTATTCCAGGATCTGATCCCAGATTATTTTCTTGTCCCAGATTATCTGGCAGTGGAGACACATATAATGCAGTTTAAATCGGATAATCTTGTATATAGGGCAGTGTAGATCCAGCCTGAGGCTCCTTCCACACTGACCCTATATTCCAAGATCTGATCCCAGATTATCTTCTTATCCCAGATTATCTGGAAGTGGAGACACATATAATCCAGTTTAAATCAGATAATCTTTGATACAGGTAGTGTAGATCCATACTGAGGCTCCTTCCACGCTGACCCTATATTCCAGGATCTGATCCCAGATTATCTTCTTATCCCAGATTATCTGGAAGTGGAGACGCATATAATCCAGATTAAATAAAGTAATCTTGGATATAGGGCAGTGTTGATCCAGCCTGAGGCTCCTTCCACACTGCCCCTATATTCCAGGATCTTATCCCAGATTATATAGAAGTGGAGACTCATATAATCCAGTTTAAATCAGATAATCTGGGATATAGGGCAGTCTGGATCCAGCCTGATGCTCCTTCCACACTGCCCCAATATTCCAGGATCTGATCCCAGATTGTTTTCTTGTCCCAGGTTATCTGGCAGTGGAGACTCGTGTAATACAGATTAGATCAGATAATCTGGGATCAGATCCCGGGATATAAAGCAGATTCGAAGGGGCTTGACTTCCATTATTAATTCCAATGGGTTTAACCTGGGGGAGGGGAAACAAACATCAGCTTTTAAAGTATGTATACTTTTTTGGAACAGTGTGTTAAGTTGCCCCCGGTAGTGCAGTGGGTTAAAGCGCTGAGCTTGTTGACCAAAAGGTCGCAGGTTCGAATCTGGTGAGCGGGGTGAGCTCCCGCTGTCAACCCCAAAAAATCCCTTGACCAACTAACCTGGATTCCCGGCTGCCTGGGGCTTCGGGGAGGAGGCTGGGGACGGGTTTGTTGGGCTCGGATTCGAGGCAAGGCGGGCACAGCAGCTCCTGCAAGAGGGAGAAATCGGGAGGCTGGCCCTCCACGAAGAGCTGCCCCTCTGCCGCCATCACTGAGAAGCTCTGGCAACAGAGGTGAGCTCCCCACAAGATAAGAGACATTATATACCGTCTACCCCTGAATTGGAAGCACCTGCGAGGTAAGCCAGGCAGGCCAGGCAGTTGTAGCTAGTTATGTCAAGGCCTCTTGCCCCAAGAGTAGCTGGGGTCACAGCAAACTACAACTCCCAGGGTTCTATAGCTTGGAGCCCTGGCTGTCAAAGTGGGGTGAAACATTCCTTCTACAGCCTCTGAGGATGGATGGAAGAGACCCCCAAGGGGTATCCAGTTCAACCACCAGCCTTGCAGGAAAAAAAGCACCATCAAAGCACCCCTGGCAGATGGCCATCCAGCCTCTGGTTAAAAGCCCTCCGAGAAAGGAGCCTCCAGCAGACTCTGGGCCCTTCAACATAGCCATATAACCTAGAACAGGGGTCCTCAAACTAAGCCACAAGGAGGAGGAAGCAAGCAAACAGAGGGAGAACAAGCCCTATGAGGAGCGGCTTAAGGAGCTGGGCATGTTTAGCCTGAAGAAGAGAAGGCTGAGAGGAGATATGATAGCCATGTATAAATATGTGAGAGGAAGCCACAGGGAGGAGGGAGCAAGCTTGTTTTCTGCTTCCCTGGAGACTAGGACGCGAACAATGGCTTCAAACTACAAGAAAGGAGATTCCATCTGAACATGAGGAAGAACTTCCTGACTGTGAGAGCCGTTCAGCAGTGGAAATCTCTGCCCTGGAGTGTGGTGGAGGCTCCTTCTTTGGAAGCTTTTAAACAGAGGCTGGATGGCCATCTGTCAGGGGTGCTTTGAATGCAATATTCCTACTTCTTGGCAGGGGGTTGGACTGGATGGCCCATGAGGTCTCTTCCAACTCTTGATTCTATGATTCTAAGAAGAGGGCCGGATACGGCCCTCCAAGGTCATTTACCCGGCCCTCGCTCAGGGTCAACCTAAGTCTGAAACTACTTGAAAGCACACAACAACAACAATCCTATCTCGTCAGCCAAAAGCAGGCCCACACTTCCCATTGAAATACAAATAAGTTTATATTTGTTAAAATTGTTCTTCATTTTAATTATTGCATTGTTTTATGTGTCTTTTTCACTACAAATAAGATATGTGCAGTGTGCATAGGAATCCATTTTTCCCCCCAACAGTTTGAGGGACTGTGACCTGGCCCTCTGTTTAAAAAGTTTGAGGACCCCTGACCTAGAATATCAAGGCGGAAAATCCCACAATGTCTGGTTTGAACTGGGTGATCTGAGTCCACACTGCCATATAGGTAAAGGTTTTCCCCTGACAAGAAGTCCAGTCGTGTCCGACTCTGGGGTGTGGTGCTCATCTCCATTTCTAAGCTGAAGAGCCAGCGTTGTCCATAGACACCTCCAAGGCAATGTGGCCGGCATGACTGCATGGAGCACCATTAGCTTCCCGCCGGAGCGGTACCTATTGATCTACTCATATTTGCATGTTTTCAAACTGCCAAGTTGGCAGAAGCTGGGGCTGACCACATGTGTCCAACTCTGGGGTGTGGTGCTCATCTCCGTTTCCAAGCTGAAGAGCCAGCATTATCCATAGACACCTCCAAGGTCATGTGGCCGGCATGACTGCATGGAGCGTCATTACCTTCCCTCCGGAGTGGTACCTTTTGATCTACTCACATTTGCATGTTTTCAAACTGCTAGGTTGGCAGAAGCTGGGGCTGACCACATGTGTCCGACTCTGGAGTGTGGCGTTCATCTCCGTTTCTAAGCCAAAGAGCCGGCGTTGTCCATAGACACCTCCAAGGTCATGTGGCCATGGAGCGCCGTTACCTTCCCGCCAGAGTGGTACCTATTGATCTACTCACATTTGCATGTTTTCAAACTGCTAGGTTGGCAGAAGCTGGGGCTGACAGCGGAAGCTCACACCGCTCCCCGGAATCGAACCTGCAACCTTTTGGTCACCAAGCTCAGCGCTTTAACCCACTGCGCCACCGGGGGCTCCAATGCTACAGCATAGAAGCACAGTGAGGTTTGAGTTAATAATGGAGATTCCGAATCATTTAGGACTCCTATCAAACTACACTGCTAAACCCCTATTATTCCACATTAACTGCAATTATGGCATTCTGTGATGTTCTGCAATGTGTAGATTGGTAAGGCCTAAAATCTCCCTAATTGAGAATTCTCCCTAAACTGCCCAATGATTCCCTTTGATATTGCTATGGCAGCTAGTGGAATAACACCACTACAATAGGGTAGTGTGATTGAGCCCAGCTGGGAGAGAAAAGGCTTGAGTAGAGTTTGACAAGGAAGCAAAGAAACAAGGATTGGTGATAAAGCTTCAATGGAGACACCTTTCTCCCAAGATAACACTCTTCCAGGTGTACATTTTCCTTCCAAGGAGTAGATTTCTCTCACTTCCTGTTGTCTCAGCCCCATTCTTAACTAGGAGTCTTTTGTAAGTTGGATGTTTGTATCTCAGGGACTGTTTGGACACAGATTCTGCATTCATGGATCAAACCATCCATACCTTGAGGTTTTTTTTTTTTAAATGTGAGAATCAAGCATTGTTTTTGCTCTTTTATATAAGGGACATCATTACAGGACCACAATGGTGCAACAAGTTAAACTGCTGAGTTGCTGAACCTGGTGAGCTCCTGAGTTAGCCCCAGCTCCTGCCAACCTAGCAGTTAGAAAACATGCAAATAGGTACCATCTCTGCGGGAAGGTATATGGCGCTCCAGGAAGTCATGCCAGCCATATAACTTAGGAGTTGTCTACAGACAACATCAGCTCTTCGGCTGAGAAATTGAGATGAGCACCACCCCTCAGAGCTGGAAGGAGAAGCCTTTACCTTTATCTGTGTTTCGTTGTTTCTAGACATTGAATGTTTGCCTTGTGTCTGTATATGCTGGAATTCTTCCTGAGCACCCTCAGGGAGATAGGGTGTAATACAAATAAATTATTATTATTATTTGAAACACAAGATCACTCTGCTGGCTGTTGTATTGGATCACACTTCGGGCACTTCCCAAGTGTCTAGGACTGTGTGATCTATCGGTGAATAATGCGTGCAGATCCCAGTAAGGTGGCCTTTTGCAGTGTCAGATGGTAATTTTGTCAGCGCCGATTGTGTTTAAGTGCAGGCCAAGGTCTTAAGGCAGTGCACCCAGTGTGCCGATCACCACTGAGACCAACTTTACTGGCTTTTGCCAGACTCTTTGCAGTTCGATCTTTAAATCCCCATATCGTGTCTGATTTTCCAGTTGCTTCTCTTCAATCCTGCTGTCGCCTGGGATTATTATTATTATTATTAGCCGTCCCCTGCCACACATTGCTGTGGCCATGTCTGTATATATGTTTTGTGTGTGTATATATGTGTGTTTGCATATATATATATAGAGAGAGAGAGATAGATATCTATATAAATAAAAATGTAATGTTCGTTTGATAATATGGATCGTTGATGTTGCAATCCCAGGTGACATCAGGATTGAAGAGAAACAACTGGAAAAGCTGACACGATATGAGGATTTAAAGATCGAACTGCAAAGACTCTGGCAAAAGCCAGTCAAGGTGGTCCCAGTGGTGATCGGCACACTGGGTGCAGTGCCTAAAGACCTTGGCCTGCACTTAAACACAATCGGCGCTGACAAAATTACCATCTGCCAGCTGCAAAAGGCCACCTTACTGGGATCTGCACACATTATTCACCAATACATCACACAGTCCTAGACACTTGGGAAGTGCCCGAAGTGTGATCCAATACAACAGCCAGCAGAGTGATCTTGTGTTTCAAATAATAATAATAATTTATTTGTATTACACCCTATCTCCCTGAGGGTGCTCAGGAAGAATTCCAGCATATACAGACACAAGGCAAACATTCAATGTCTAGAAACAACGAAACACAGATAAAGGTAAAGGCTTCTCCTTCCAGCTCTGAGGGGTGGTGCTCATCTCAATTTCTCAGCCGAAGAGCTGATGTTGTCTGTAGACAACTCCTAAGTTATATGACTGGCATGACTTCCTGGAGCGCCATATACCTTCCCGCAGAGATGGTACCTATTTGCATGTTTTCTAACTGCTAGGTTGGCAGGAGCTGGGGCTAACTCAGGAGCTCACCAGGTTCAGCAACTCAGCAGTTTAACTTGTTGCACCATTGTGGTCCTGTAATGATGTCCCTTATATAAAAGAGCAAAATCAATGCTTGATTCTCACATTTTAAAAAAAAACCTCAAGGTATGGATGGTTTGATCCATGAATGCAGAATCTGTGTCCAAACAGTCCCTGAGATACAAACATCCAACTTACAAAAGACTCCTAGTTAAGAATGGGGCTGAGACAACAGGAAGTGAGAGAAATCTACTCCTTGGAAGGAAAATGTACACCTGGAAGAGTGTTATCTTGGGAGAAAGGTGTCTCCATTGAAGCTTTATCACCAATCCTTGTTTCTTTGCTTCCTTGTCAAACTCTACTCAAGCCTTTTCTCTCCCAGCTGGGCTCAATCACACTACCCTATTGTAGTGGTGTTATTCCACTAGCTGCCATAGCAATATCAAAGGGAATCATTGGGCAGTTTAGGGAGAATTCTCAATTAGGGAGATTTTAGGCCTTACCAATCTACACATTGCAGAACATCACAGAATGCCATAATTGCAGTTAATGTGGGATAATAGGGGTTTAGCAGTGTAGTTTGATAGGAGTCCTAAATGATTCGGAATCTCCATTATTAACTCAAACCTCACTGTGCTTCTATGCTGTAGCATTGGAGCCCCCGGTGGCGCAGTGGGTTAAAGCGCTGAGCTTGGTGACCAAAAGGTTGCAGGTTCGATTCCGGGGAGGTGTGAGCTTCCGCTGTCAGCCCCAGCTTCTGCCAACCTAGCAGTTTGAAAACATGCAAATGTGAGTAGATCAATAGGTACCACTCTGGCGGGAAGGTAACGGCGCTCCATGGCCACATGACCTTGGAGGTGTCTATGGACAACGCCGGCTCTTTGGCTTAGAAACGGAGATGAACGCCACACTCCAGAGTCGGACACATGTGGTCAGCCCCAGCTTCTGCCAACCTAGCAGTTTGAAAACATGCAAATGTGAGTAGATCAAAAGGTACCACTCCGGAGGGAAGGTAATGACGCTCCATGCAGTCATGCCGGCCACATGACCTTGGAGGTGTCTATGGATAATGCTGGCTCTTCAGCTTGGAAACGGAGATGAGCACCACACCCCAGAGTTGGACACATGTGGTCAGCCCCAGCTTCTGCCAACCTTAGCAGTTTGAAAACATGCAAATGTGAGTAGATCAATAGTACCGCTCCGGTGGGAAGGTAATGGTGCTCCATGCAGTCATGCTGGCCACATGACCTTGGAGGTGTCTTTGGCTTAGAAATGGCTTAGAAATGGAGATGAGCACCACACCCCAGAGTCGGACACGACTGGACTTCATGTCAGGGGAAAACCTTTACCTTACTATAGAGAGAGAGAGAGGAAGAGGGAGACTGAGTCCTTATTTTAGGTCAGGGGTCCTCAAACTTTTTAAACAGAGGGCCAGGTCACAGTCCCTTAAACTGTTGGAGGGCCGGATTATAATTGAATTCCTATGCACACTGCACATATCTTATCTGTAGTGAAAAATAAAACACTTAAAAACAATACAATAATTAATACGAAGAACAATTTTAACAAACAAAAACTTATTTGTATTTCAATAGGAAGTGTGAGCCTGCTTTTGGCTGATGAGATAGAATTTTTGTTGTTGTTGTATGCTTTCAAGTCATTTCAGACTTAGGTTAACCCTGAGCAAGGGCCAGGTAAATGACTTTGGAGGGCTGTATCTGGACCCCTGGCCTTAGAATCATAGAATCAAAGAGTTGGAAGAGACCTCATGGGCCATCCAGTCCAACCCCCTGCCAAGAAGCAGGAATATTGCATTCAAATCACCCCTGACAGATGGCCATCCAGCCTCTGTTTAAAAGCTTCCAAAGAAGGAGCCTCCACCACACTCCAGGGCAGAGAATTCCACTGCTGAACGGCTCTCACAGTCAGGAAGTTCTTCCTCATGTTCAGATGGAATCTCCTTTCTTGTAGTTTGAAGCCATTGTTCCGCGTCCTAGTCTCCAGGGAAGCAGAAAACAAGCTTGCTCTCTCCCCCCAGTGACTTCCTCTCACATATTTATACATGGCTATCATATCTCCTCTCAGCCTTCTCTTCTTCAGGCTAAACATGCCCAGCTCTTTAAGCCGCTCCTCATAGGGCTTGTTCTCCCTCTGTTTGCTTGCTTCCTCCTCCTTGTGGCTTAGTTTGAGGACCCCTGTTCTAGGTTATATGGCTATGTTGAAGGGCCCAGAGTCTGCTGGAGGCTCCTTTCTCGGAGGGCTTTTAACCAGAGGCTGGATGGCCATCTGCCAGGGGTGCTTTGATGGTGCTTTTTTTCCTGCAAGGCTGGTGGTTGAACTGGATACCCCTTGGGGGTCTCTTCCATCCATCCTCAGAGGCTGTAGAAGGAATGTTTCACCCCACTTTGACAGCCAGGGCTCCAAGCTATAGAACCCTGGGAGTTGTAGTTTGCTGTGACCCCAGCTACTCTTGGGGCAAGAGGCCTTGACATAACTAGCTACAACTGTCTGGCCTGCCTGGCTTACCTCGCAGGTGCTTCCAATTCAGGGGTTGACGGTATATAATGTCTCTTATCTTGTGGGGAGCTCACCTCTGTTGCCAGAGCTTCTCAGTGATGGCGGCAGAGGGGCAGCTCTTCGTGGAGGGCCAGCCTCCCGATTTCTCCCTCTTGCAGGAGCTGCTGTGCCCGCCTTGCCTCGAATCCGAGCCCAACAAACCCGTCCCCAGCCTCCTCCCCGAAGCCCCAGGCAGCCGGGAATCCAGGTTAGTTGGTCAAGGGATTTTTTGGGGTTGACAGCGGGAGCTCACCCCGCTCACCAGATTCGAACCTGCGACCTTTTGGTCAACAAGCTCAGCGCTTTAACCCACTGCACTACCGGGGGCAACTTAACACACTGTTCCAAAAAAGTATACATACTTTAAAAGCTGATGTTTGTTTCCCCTCCCCCAGGTTAAACCCATTGGAATTAATAATGGAAGTCAAGCCCCTTCGAATCTGCTTTATATCCCGGGATCTGATCCCAGATTATCTGATCTAATCTGTATTACACGAGTCTCCACTGCCAGATAACCTGGGACAAGAAAACAATCTGGGATCAGATCCTGGAATATTGGGGCAGTGTGGAAGGAGCATCAGGCTGGATCCAGACTGCCCTATATCCCAGATTATCTGATTTAAACTGGATTATATGAGTCTCCACTTCTATATAATCTGGGATAAGATCCTGGAATATAGGGGCAGTGTGGAAGGAGCCTCAGGCTGGATCAACACTGCCCTATATCCAAGATTACTTTATTTAATCTGGATTATATGCGTCTCCACTTCCAGATAATCTGGGATAAGAAGATAATCTGGGATCAGATCCTGGAATATAGGGTCAGCGTGGAAGGAGCCTCAGTCTGGATCTACACTACCTGTATCAAAGATTATCTGATTTAAACTGGATTATATGTGTCTCCACTTCCAGATAATCTGGGATAAGAAGATAATCTGGGATCAGATCTTGGAATATAGGGTCAGTGTGGAAGGAGCCTCAGGCTGGATCTACACTGCCCTATATACAAGATTATCCGATTTAAACTGCATTATATGTGTCTCCACTGCCAGATAATCTGGGACAAGAAAATAATCTGGGATCAGATCCTGGAATACAGGGGCAGTGTGGAAGGTTCCTCAGGCTGGATCTACACTGCCCTATATCCCAGATGATCTCATTTAATCTGGATTATAGGAGTCTCCACTGCCAGATAATCTGGGACAAGAAAATAATCTGGGATCAGATCCTGGAATATAGGGTCAGTGTGGAAGAAGCCTCAGGCTGGATCAGCACTGCCCTATATCAAAGGTTATCTGATTTAAACTGGATTATATGAGTCTCCACTGCTAAATAATCTGAGGTAAGAAGATAATCTGGGATCAGATCCTGAAATATTGGGGCAGCGTGGAAGAGGCCTCAGGCCAGATCTACACTGGATCTGATCCCAGGCCAGATCTACACTGGATCTGGATATTCCAGGATCTGATCCCAGATTCTTTTTATCCCGATTATCTGGCAATTTAGACTCATATAATCCAGTTCAGACCCTGGGAAATAGAGCAATGTAGATCTAGACTAAGGTCCCTTCCACACAGCTGTATAAAATCTACATTGAAATGGACTGACAGTATGGACTCAAATAATCCAGTTCAAAGCAGATAATGCGGATTGCCTGCCTTGATATTCCGAGTTATATAGCTGTGTGGAAGGGCCCTATACCTCCCAGGATCCCATCGCCTTGAACCAAGAGAGTAAAAGCGGTGTCAAAATGCATTCATTCTGAATGAATGGTAGAGGCTCCCCAGGAAGCGTTTCCAGCCTAGTCAAAGGGGCTTATTGCTAAGGCAGGAAGTATGCGCAGGCGCAGGACCTGAACTCCTTCCTTTCCCCTTGTCCCTGCAGGCAATTAGGATGAGAATGAATGGCGCGCGCAAAAACAGGTGACCGGCCCGAGCTGCACGCGCGCGCCTTGATGAGCACGTGGCTGTGGCGTGGCCGGAGCGAGCGCGGGAAAGGGCGCGTGCTCGCCTTTGTTATCAAATGAGCGAAGAAGGTTGCTCAGTGCACTTTTCCAAGAGTCACCAACTGTTCTGTCTTGTAATAAAGTGCAGAATTGTTGGTGAGATGATGAGTTTTTGCCTCATCTCTTATTTTCTTCTGTAGCTTTGAGAAGCCCAGCCTTATATGCTCAACTGTGTTTGCTAGAAGATGGGCGAAAAAAAAAAAAGAATGACTCCAAAGCCTTCCCCTCAGAAAGCTTTAAAGCTTTATTTTGCCCCCAATAGCAGATGTTATTTACAGTTCAGTGCAACAAATGTCATGTTTCCTAGCAAATATGACTTTAGGAACAATCTGCGGAAGACAGTAAAAAAGATCGCTTTAAAAGCAGTTTAATAGCATTGACTATTACTATCTAGCATTCATATATAGCAGGGGTCCACAAACTTTTTAAAGAGAGGGCCAGGTCACAGTCCCTCAAACTGTTGGAGGGCCGGATTATAATTTGAAAAAAATGAATGAATTCCAATGCACACTGCACATATCTTATTTGTAGTGCAAAAACACTTAAAATACAATAATTAAAATGAAGAACAATTTTAACATTAGTATTTTGATGGGAAGTGTGGGCCTGCGTTTGGCTTATGAGATAGGATTGTTGCCGTTGTGTTCTTTCAAGTCATTTCAGACTTAGGTTGACCCTGAGTGAGGGCCGGGTAAATGACCTTGGACCTCTGGGCCTTAGTTTGAGGACCCCTGATATATAGGGTAGAAAATTATATACAGTTTTGGCAACCGCCTCTGAGGCCCTTCCACACACCCGGAAGATCAAGGCGGAAAATCCACAATATCTGCTTTGAACTGGGTTATTGTGAGTCCACACTCAAGATTTTCTGCCTTGATATTCTGGGATATAGGGCTGTATGGAAGGGCCCTGGGTTATCTGAGTCCACACTGCCATAGAGTCCAGTTCAAAGCAAATAATGTGGGATTTTATACAGCTGTGTGGAGGGGGCCTTAATCTATACCAGTGATCCGCGAGTCTCCTTCCTCATTTTATTTTTTCTGTGGGCGAGCAGATGGTGACTATTGGATGGCATATGTTCTGAATCAGAAACTAGAGGTGATATAGTCTATCCAGTGCAATTTTCTGAGTCAGCACCCCAAATAACCAAACTGAAACTAAAGTTGACCAAAAAAACCCTGATTGTAACCCTTTTGGTGCCAATGTTGGAAAGTGGTCCCTGGTCAAATAATTTATATAATTTATTTATTTAAAACGTTTATATCCCGATCTCACCTCCGTAGAGAGACTCAGATTGGCTTACAGGAAGGATTCAATGCTACTAATACAAGTTAAAACATCATACAACAATAAAAGATTAAAATACATATAGATAAATACAAATATACCAAATTGCCAAGGTAAAATCATGTTCAACTCAGTCCGCATATGTGGTCACTCACTTTGGTCTGTAATCAATCTCAACCATTATTCTGGGAATGCTTCGTTCCATAACCAGAATTTCACTAGCCTCCTGAAGAACAAGAGGGAGGGGGCAGATCTAATCTCGCTCGGGAGAGAGTTCCATAGCCGAGGGGCCACCACAGAGAAGGCCCTGTCTCTCGTTCCCACCAAACGCACTTGTGAAGGTGATGGGACCGAGAGCAGGGCCTCTCCGGAAGATCTTAACGTCCTTGATGGTTCATAGGGGAGAATACGTTCGGACAGGTAAACTGGGCTGGAACCGTATAGGGATTTATAGGTTAAAACTAGCACTTTGAAGCTAATTTAGAAGCTAATTGACAGACAGTAGAGCTGGTGCAACAAGGGAGTTGTGCGCTCCCTGTACCCAGCTCCCGTCAGCAGCCTGGCTGCCGAGCGCTGGACTAATTGCAGCTTCCGGGCAGTCTTCAGAGGCAACCCCACGTAGAGACCGTTGCAGTAAGGTTGGGAACCACTGTACATGGACCGTTTAATTTGGTTCAAAGTGAGTCTCAAGCTGCGACTGCCAGACAACAAACTCCCATAGAAGTGTGTGAAAGAAAGCCACTTTATGGTTTATGGAATCGCAATCCAGGCTGCAAACTGGTTCCAGGATTTTCTCTATTCAGCGTTTCGCTGAACCACTTTCTTCAATCTCTGCATTGAATGGCCAGTGTAGATATGGCCTGAGAGTGTCCCCAAAGTATGAAGAATGCTGTGATGATTTAGTTTTGTCGGCAGGCTTGGAGAGAAGTTTTTGGTGGCGTTTTGTCTCCCTAAGGTGGCCATACAACTTGGGCTGGATCTACACTGCCCTATATCCCATATTATGCCGCCATGGGTTCATCTGCATTGTAGAATGAATGCAGTTTTGCGCCACATTAACTGCTGTGGCTCAGTTCTGTGGAATCTTGGGAGTTGTATTGTTGCAAGGCCTTGAGCCTCCTTTGCCTCACCAACTACAACTCCCAGGATTCCATAGCACTGAACCATGGCAGTTAAAGTGGGGTCGAAGAGATAATATTTTCAGATGACACGGAACCACAAAATCATTGCTTTTGGTTTTTTAAAATGAAGTCCTATTTCCAAAATAAATACTGTTATTGTAAAATTTAAGCTGTTGATTGTATAACCATATAGGTATTTACTTGGAAGTAAGACTGATTGTAACCAATGGAACTTGCTCCCAGGTAAAAACAGCAGCCTTAGCGCCTTTCCACACAGCCCTCTATCCCAGAATATAAAGGCGGAAAATCCCACAATATCTGCTTTGAACTGGGTTATCTGAGTCCAGATAATGTGGGATTTTCTGCCTTGATATTCTGGGATATAGAGCTGTGTGGAAGGACCCTTAGACAAAGTCCTTGGAACTCAGCCAGAGGCACAAATCAAATTCAAAGGGCCTCTGAATCCATGGATGGATAATCTGTAGGTATTAAGAACCAGCTGTAATGTTTTTACATCGTGTTTAGTGCTCTTTAATCTTTAATTTTAACCCAGTTCAGGCCCCCAGATGTTCTTGACTGGCAGCTCCCATCACTTTGACTGTCTGCCATACGTACCGGGGAAAATGGGAAATTGCAACCCAAAAGCATGTATGGCTCTGAGGTTTGGGAAAGGTCAAGGTACATTTTAAAGTCAGACATCATACCCACAAGCTTTGCATCTAATTCTAAACCCTGACTTATTTATTTAGCAATTTATTGTATTTTATGTTCATTTGTTTTTTAATTTGTTGTACCCCGCTTCAAAGCATCAAGAGAGGTGGGTAATAAATGTATTGTTATTATTAAACAGAACAAACGACAGTCTTCCAGAGGTTAATGTATCATAATTCCCATCAGCTCAAGTCATGATATCTAATGATGAGGAATACAGGAGTTGTAGTCGAACATCTCAAGGGCCACAAAAATGACATGGTGGGCCCTGAGTTTAACATATGTGCTCTATGCTGTAGAATGGGTGCAGTTTCTCCGCATTAACTGCTTTGACTCGATGCAATGGAATCATGCGAGTTACAGTTTTACAAGGTCTTCAGTCTTCTCTGCCAAAGACTGCTGATGCCTCCCCAAACTATAACACCCAGGATCCCTTTGCCTTGATCCAGGACAGTAAAAGGGGTGTGGAACTGCATTCATTCTATAGTGCAGCCCCCCCCCCCCCATGGATCCTGCCCTGTCCCTGAAGCCATGATCCCCTTGTCTGCTTTCTCCCCTCTTCAGGTTTGACCCCTTCGTGGGCATGGCTTGCTGCCTCCAGATCCCGGAGACCAAAGCCCTGGACTTCCTGCAAGAGGCTGGCCAGAGCCTCTCTCAGTCTGAGCCCAGCAATAGCAGCAGGAGGCTGTTTTCACGGCATGTGGGGCGTCCATGGAACAACAGCCACTGTGCCACTACCTCCCACATGGAGTGCTGCTTCCCAGAGGCTACCCTCTCCTCTTTTGGCCCTTTGGATGCCCTTAGCCTCATCAGCCTCCATTGCTCCAGCCTTGAAATTGACTCCACAGGAGATAATAACATGCTGTGGGGGGTGGCAGTGCACGTGGAAGAGCCACAGGCAGGGTGTGATGTCCCCTCCAGGCCCGAGCCTCCAAGGAGTAGCATGCGGAGGATTTCCCGCAAGCAGCCCAAGCCCCAGCGGAGCTGTGAGCCCCTGGATCCGACTTTTCAAGGCGTTACTTTTCAGATGCAGCTGCAGCATTCTCTGAGCAGCAAGGAGGGCTGTAGACTCCACATTTGTCCCCGATACAGCAGGTACCATGGCGTGGAGCAGAGGGGATCCTCTGTCTGGGGGCACTTTGGGAAACTCAACCCGCCCCCCTTTGGATGGGGCCCCACCTTATCACTCCTGGAAAACAACAATTCATGCAAGGGGATGCGGTCAGACAAAGAGCCTGGACCTCAGCCATCTAGGTCTTTAAAGGTCATAACCAGCACTTTGTATTGTGCCCGGAAACAGACTGGCAGCCAGTGGAGCTATTGCAGCAGGGAAACTGTCTTCTCCCTGTAGCCAGCCCCAGTTAGCAACCTGGCTACAGCTCCGTTGAAAGTGCCAGCCTGGATTTCTCTTAATTTTTGTCTAGCACTAGCTGTTGTTGGGTTGCAACCATTAGATGTTTTCACCAATACAGCCAGTGATGGCGGACAATGTGGGCTTCTGTATGTAAAGATCTGCAGCAGCTGTCTAAGGGCTACTAAGAGTTTAGAAACAGAGAATCCTGATGGTTAAAGGAGTATGTTTCTGGCTTTTAGGCAGATTGAGATGCTGTGTTATTTTCATGGTTACTTTTATTCAGCTTTTACAAAACATACGTTAAACAGCAGAAAGCATAGTCAGTCCTTAATAGCCAGCTTTCACTTTTTAACCCTGTTGCTCATGGTGACATGGTGTGAGCCAATTTTGATGAGGATAATCCTTCAGGGAAGTCAATACAATTGTGTCAGCACCTCTTTGATCTTGTGCTGTATTGTCTTTCCACCAGCATCCATTGATTTTTCATGGTGTTGTGCTGGTGCTCCATTTGCAACAACTGGGCTGCCCTTGCTGTTCTCTATCACAACTTTTTCCTCTCAACAGCATTTCTGTCATAACAAACTCCCTCATTTTACCTGATAGAAAGGCAGCGGCATTATTCCTGTTTAATAGTTAACAATATCGAGCTTTTATTTTTGGTGCTGGCGAGGGTTATTGTTACCTCCCCCCCTTCCCCCTTTTGCCCTCCCCGCTTTCAGATCCGTCTTCCACCGCCTCTCTTCCTCCCTTCGTTCCTCGTCTGTCCCCCTCTACCCCCACCCTCCCTCGCCCTTCCCCCCCCTGGGCCCGCACTCTCCTGTCAATGTACCTCGCCTCTCCTGGCCGGCTCCTGGGTGTTCTGTTTTTTTCGGGTTCTGGCCCGTTCTCAGCGGCTTCTTCGACCTTCGCCTGCCTTCCGTCTCCAGCCTCCTCCGCGGTCGGCGGTGCTAACCTGTATTCGTTCCTCTCGCGGTGCCCTGGCGGCCTGCTCTCGCCGTCTTCCCGCTCCGCCCCCCCTCCACCCCCCTCTCCCGCATTTCCCTTTCCCCTTTAACCTGTGCCCGCTGTTCCCCCCTGCTCTCTCCGCCTTATAGCGTCCGTTCCCCCACCCGAGCCTCCCCTTTCCCTCTCCTTTTGTCCCGTTTCCACCTGTTCCCGCCTGCTCCTCTCCTCCTGCCGTGCCGCGGCGTTCTGCAGCGTGCCGCCTGAGTTCTTACTCCCCCCGATGTTCCCTTTCTTGCATCACGGACGCTTCGTACTTGGTCTGGCTGTGATTCTGAGGAGGTGCCCCGCCCTCTCTCCTAGGCCGCCCGGCCCCCAGCCCGAGCGAGTAGGCCATCCCCGGCTCCGATTGTTCTCTTTGCACGGCTGGCCCCTCCTCCCGGTTGCGCTTGCAGCTCCCCCTTCCTCCCATCGCCTTGTCGTCTCGCGTTTGTGGCTTTGGCCTCCACCTATTTGCCGGGCCCCCTGCTCCTGCCCCCCTCCGCCCCTCATTCTTACTCTATTCCCCCTTGCTCTTATCAAGATCTCCTAGCTGATTTACTCCGCCGCGTTCCGCCGCCGCTCGTCATCCCCTCTGCTTATCGCTTCCCGTCCTTCCTCCTCCCGGGGCCAACCGGGCCCCCCTTTGTGCCCACCGTGGCTGTGTCCGGCTGGGGGCCTCCACCAGTCTCGCCGGCATCTCATGTCTAGCGCGCTGCAATGTGCGCTTCCTTCGCTATTTCTCACTTCGTTGTTATTCCTCTCTTCCCCTTACCGGGCCTCCCAGTGCCCCCTTCCCCCCTGCTCCTCCGCCGCCTGGTGGCGTTGCCGTTTTTTGCCCTTTCTTTTTAAGCAAGCACTTGCAGATTGTTCTGGTCACACCCATTTGCCAACACAATGTGCTTGGTGGGGTAGAAGGGAAGTAGGTTCTTCCCTTTTTCAATAATCCTAAACCACTTTATAGGACAAAGTTCACTAGTATTGGATGTAACAAGTGTGAAGAGAGATATTTCCCTAATATTTGGGGAACAAATAGATTCCTGTGACTGCCTTGGTTTAGGGACTCGTGTGGTTGTGGTCGTGTTTTCGCCGCTGTGCCTTTCCCGTACCCATCCGCACGCTTTCCCCCCAGCTTTCCTCGCTCTCCTTGTCGTATACTCACCCTGACTTCGTCATGTGTCCCCCGTCCCCTCTTCCTCGTTCACCGTCCACCCGTTCCCCCTTCCCTCTCCCTCTCTTTCTCTCGTCGCTCCCCGAGGCCTCACACGTCCTTCAATCGTTGCCACTGCCTGCCGCCCATCATCCACTCGTTGTCAGCCAGCACTTTCTCTTCACTGTCCAAAAGTGAGAAATGGCAGAATGACAGTTAGAACCGTTGGTCTCAGCAGCTAGCCAGAGGCAGCAGCCAATCAGAACCCTGACTCCTGGCATGCCCAGCCAATCAGCTTCTGACACATCCCTTTCCAGCTAACCCATTACATAATGGCGTCTCTTTTTAAATCCTAACATATTGCAGGGTGTTAGTCCTTTTTGGGGGAAAAATGAAGGCTGAATGTGATAGGAAGCAAACCATTTCAGCAGAGTTCAACTTCCAGTATATTTTTGGTGGATATTGACTTAAGTAAAATAACAATCAAAACAAAGAACTTTACTGATTTCTTTAAGAGTGGTGAAGGGGCTGTGGTAGTGCAGCGGCTTAAACTGCTAAGCTGCAGAACCTGCTGATCGGAAGTTATGTATGTTTCCTGATTCAGTTGAGGTCAAAATTGGTCCACAGGGGTTTAGTGAATTTCTTTCTAATTATGTTATATTTTTATTAATTGACCCCAGTATTCAACCAGTGCTGAACCATGTAAAATCCTGGTTCATGTCAAGGATACCAGAAGTGGGCATGAGTTGATTTTGTAGGATGACACAAAATGTGAGTCTTCAGACAATAGATTGAGTAAATCATCCTATTCTTTCAGTGTGCTGAAATTCCAGCCTCTTTTCAGTATACTTACATGGTGTGAGCTCGGAGTCAAATACCCCCAGTTCAAGTTTAATCTTAGCCATAAACCCTTTGCTAAGCAATGCTAGGAACAGCCATGGTTCTTTCGGTCTCAGCTCCCTTATTTGCAGTATGCTTTATTAGGCTATTTGTAAGGATTGTTGAAATAAAAATAAGGAAAGGAGATATTTTTGGGTGTTAAAGTTGTGCTGTATGAAGGATCAGTGTAATACAAGTTGAGTATCTCTTACTTGGAATTCCAAAATACTCCAAAACCAAAATGTGTCCATGTGGGTGGCTGAGATAGGGAAACCATTGCTTTCAGCTAGTTCAATATAAATAAACTTTGTTTCATATATTTATTTATTTTGAACATTTGTATCCCATCCTTCTCAACTCCTGAAGGGGGGACTCAGGGCGGCTCACAACTGGCAGCTATTAGATGCCAACATACAATCAGTGAAAACAGTATAACTTTAAGTAAAACAACAAGAAATTATAAATAGATTAAAATATTAGCCATTAAAATAAGATCGAAGACCGACAGGTCGCAGTTCGAATCTGGAGAGAGCACTTATGAGCTTCCTCTGTGAGCTCCAGCTCCTCATACGGGGACATGAGAGAAGCCTCCCCACAAGGATGGTAAAACATCAAACATCCGGGTGTCCCCTGGGCAACGTCCTTGCAGATGGTCAATTCTCACACCAGAAATGACTTGCAGTTTCTCAAGTCAGTCCTGACGCGACTAACCAAGCCTAAATCCTCAAATCCAAATTATAATCCAGAGTTCCAGTCCAGGTCTATTCATTGATAATTCTCATAAGTCGTTACAATTGCTGCTCGGTCAGCTGCCTGAATGCTTGGTCTCAAAGTCAGGATTTAACCTTTTTTCTCAAGGAGAGGAGAGAGGGAGTCACCTTGATCTCACTGGGGAGTGTATTGCATAGATTGGGGGGACACCACAGAGAAGGTCCTGCGAGGGTGGTGGGATTGAGAGCAGGGCCTCCTCTGACAATTGCAAACTCCAAAGTGGATCATAGAGGGTGATACGTTCGGACAGGTAAGCGGGGCCGGAACCGTATAGGCATGGTTCTCAACCTGGGGCTCCCCAGATGGTTTGGCCTTCAGCTCCCAGAAATCTTAATAGCTGGTAAACTGGCTGGGATTTCTGGGAGTTGTAGGCCAAAGCACCCGGGGACCCACAAGTTGAGAACCACTGGTATAGGGCTTTATAGGTCAAAACCAGCACTTTGAATTGTGTTCGGAAATGGACTGGCAGTCAGTGGAGCTGATGCAGCAGGGGGTGGCATGCACAAAATTACTAAAATATTGTCTGTGAAGTATAAGGTGTGTATGAAACATAAATGAATTTCTTGTTTAGACACTAATCCCTTCTCAAAGATATCTCATTATGCACACATGTGCAAATCCAAAATAGTCTGAAATCCAAAACATTTATGATACCAAGCATTTTGGATAAGGGATACTCAACCTGAATCAACTGATGTTGGTGGAAGCCCATACACAGACCTAAACTCTCTGAAGTTTCAGTTTCCTGGAAAGAAGAAAAATAATGGTAAATATCTCGTTATCTGTGTCTGGATATATTATAGAATTAGTTTTCTGTTCTTATTTGGGGGTTTGTTTCTCCCTCCATGACACTCTCATTCTTAAATTTATTTTTGAAATCAAAATCTATAATGTTGTATAATGATGGCAAAATTTAAATATTCCTGATAATATTCCTCCTAGGTTCTTACTGACGTCTAACACCACCACCCCCCACCTCAACAACTTAAGATACTGTCTCTATATAGACAGTGAGAGAAGTAAGACCTTATGTAATTTTTTAGTGATGCAAGTGTGACTCAGGGATAAACTAGTAATGGAGAGCATTATTGGCTTCAGCAAGTTTAATTATCTTGAAATGTTTAGAAGTATTGTGTGATCAAGGTGTTTTTTGCCTTCAAGGGAATAAACGTTGTGCATCTTGCAAGACCAGGAAAACACCTCTATGGAGAGATGCTGAAGATGGGACTCCTCTCTGCAATGCCTGTGGCATTAGGTACCTATTTATTTTAACTGCTGTTGCAGATTTTGTGTAAAGTAGAGGGTGGAATATTTAGTACTCTAGAAATATATTTTGTTTATTTAATATTTCAGTACGGGACTCAAAGTTGTTCGAAGTAAACAATGCAACTAAAACAATATATACAGTTGGTCCTCCCTATCCATGGATTCTGCATCCACAGATCCTTCATCCATGGCTTGATTTTGCCATTTTATATAAAAGGCAGCCATTTACTACACCGTTGCATATAATAGACTCTAATATCAATGGATTTTTGGTATTAATGGAGGATCATAGAATCATGCTTCATACCAAAATGATACAAAAGTGTTATTTTTAATTACATAGACTATAAATAGACAATTTCAAAATTAATTCAAATTTTTTAAAACGCATGATCCATGTTTTGTAATATTAAGGATATACATACCCACACAGCATTTTTTCAAGTGGCAAAGACACACTCCACAACATTAAAAGCTGTTTCACACTGGCATAGACTGCTTTGGAGGGTTTGGTAAGCTGTTTAACTGTGGTATGCTACCCCACAATAACTACGAAGCTGGTCATTACAGCCCTTGCCCCTTTGCTCACTGAAGCTTCCCCATTACCATGCAGTTGGAAAAGATCCCATGGGCCTTTGAGTCCAACTTCCTGCTCAGTACAGGATCTCCAAATGTGGCATCTCCAGCAGGTATCTATCTAGCCTCATTTTAAAGACTTCATCACCTCTCTAGGCAATTGATTTTATTTCTGAACTTCTCTCACTGTCAATAAATTTCTTGAAATATTCACAGACTCTTCTGTACTGTAACTTTAAACTACATAGGTTTAGGTCACTGTATAACAGCCTCACTTTTTGATCCCTGGGTTCTCGGTGGGAGTAGGAATCTTATTTCTTCGATTTTTCACATATAGCACCCCAGAGAGAAAAGCTAGAATTTCAAAAGGCATTTCACCTGGGCAGAGGTTCATCTGATTAGAAAAGCTTTTCAACAAATCTCACAACCTCTGAGGATGCTTGCCATAGATGTGGGCAAAATATCAGGAGATAATGCTTCTGGAGCATGGTCATACAAACCAGAAAACTCACAACAACCCAATGATTCTGGCCATGAAAGTCTTCGACAACACTTCTGAGATCCCCAGATTATTCAGTAAATGGAGAGGGGACTTTTGAGAGTTGTAGTTGGAAAAAAGAAATATCAACCTCTGTAATCTTCAGACAAAGATTGAGTAAGTGAAAGGGTGATTTAGATATATATCTGGCTGTTACAGGATACCAAAGAAAGTGCCTTCCCTTTCATGTCATTTGGAATGTTTTTGGAGTTTAGAGTTGAGGAAGGAAGGTGAAGTAGCACACAAGTATCAAAACAGACTTGAATTAAAGAATGGAAGTGACCAATCAATTAAGATGGAGCTATTTTCCCCATAGATACAAAAAGTACAGAATTCGGTGTCTTAAGTGTTGGAATATTCCAAAGCATGGTGGGAAACCTAATTCACATTGTTCCAGTTGTGGAGGAAGATTGCATGTAGTTGCTGCACAATCAAAATCTGGAAAGAGGTAAATGATTTGTTTCAGGACATTTTGGCTGAGATCCTATATTTACAATATGTTTCATGTCAACACACGTTCCACATTGAGCC